TCGTAGTTCATATAGTACTTTAAGCATTCACAATAATTATATATGAAAGTAATATGGCTAATCAATTTAAAGGTGTCGATAGAACTCTCAATAATATGTGGGATAAAAAGGAAAAGATTCACTTACCTGGAGTCCACGCTATGATTCTCTAGCGCACGCATCGAGGCGTCCTGAATGATTGGTCCCTGCCACGAAGTCCAAAAGTAGACGGAAGATGGTCAAATTTGCCCACGAAGCCGGCGGGTGCCTAAAACTTCCCGACGTCGATTCGTCGTCTACGATGGTCCAACGGGGTCAAGGTTGGTTGGGTTTTGCTCCTGGGATGATGGGCTACAAAGCCCAAGTGATGGCATCGGCCATTGCTTTGCCGATTTGCCGGAAAATCGAAAAGGGTGGCCGGAGCACCATTGATTTTCGTCAACTTTCGTGGCCTCAAACCTCCACATCCCATGGTTAATCAAGGTGGTTCTTGGGTGGGTTTTGTAGAGGGGAATGAGAGCTTCAAGATGGTGGTGGCGGCATCGAAAAACTCCACCGGAGTTGGCCGGAATCGGCCTTGGAAGATGGCCTCGCGGTGGTGCGGTATGGGTGCACGGGAAGCATTCTTCCTTTTTTTTTTTTTTTTTTTCTTTTCTTTTCTTCTTTCTTTTTTTTGATTAGCTGCAAGCTTCACTTTTATTTTCTAATTGGTTCCTTGTCCCTTCGGGGATATCCGATAAAATTTGGAACGGGTTGTCACAATATGTGCTACAAATTTTTTGTTTTTTTTTGAAAGCTAATTTGAACACTTTTTTATGGATATTGCTCTTTACTTTTTGTTATTGGATTAGATAAATCAAATAAAATCAACGAATAAAATTAAATAGGAGTTTGTAAAAAGAAGAAGAAAACAATACGCGTATTTATCACATTTTTTTACGGAAGATAAATTTTTTAAGTAGTTATATGAACTTGTACATATTTTTTAATTTGTCATATGAATTTTTTAAAATTGTTAGTTTGTTATCTCACCCTAATTCAGTTAAGTTTTCCATCCAAAAGAAGGGCTATTTTGGACTTTTGACCTCATTTTCACAAGTTTATCCATTTATTTATTTATTGTTTTTATACAAAGATATACGTAGATTAGGGATAGGTGATAAATTGATTTTCAACTTTTGACATTTTTTACAAGTTCTCTACTTATCTTTTGGTATGAAAGAATTTCGCATTCGTTTCATAAACTTATGGTGAACTACTAAAAAATACAATAGGCTCACTAACATGAAGTTTCGCTATAATTACAAGCTTTGAAAATTCAATCTGGTCAATCATGTTCATTAAAAAAAAGGAGTTGTAATGTCCGAGATAACATTGAAATGTCCAAATAATCTTGAAATGTATCAGAATGGGGAGTTGAAATGTCTGATATAGCCTTGAAAATAAGTCATGTGCCTAGTATATGACTTATTTTGAATGAAAAACTTAATGGAGTTGGCAAATTAATGATTTTCGAAACTTGATATGACAAATCGCTTAAATTTTTAGTTTATATGACAAATTAAAAAGAGGGTATAAATTCATATGAGATTTCAGATAACTAAAAAATATAAATCACTTAGCTAATTTTATCATTGATATGGACTGCATACGTATGCTAAAAGAGGGAAAGAGAATGACTCACACTCACAGTATTAAGAATAAGAGTATAAGATACGAAGCTAAAAGAAAGAAGTGGTATAGAGAGCAACCAACAATCAAAAGAGAACGTAGAAAACTAGACTACTAAAAAACAATGTACGACAAGAGAGTCACTTTCTTGTTAAATTCCGAAGAAAAGATTTACAAGTTTTATAAGAAGCAAATGAGACCCCCATTTCCACATCTGGCCTTTCAATTTGGTTTGGTTTGGTTGCGGGTTTGAGCTTTTAAAACCGACTAAAATGAAACCGGATCAATCACTTACACATTGATATTTAATTGATTAATGTATGTGAAGTCTTTTTATTGGTTAATAATTAGGTAAGAAAGTTCAATTTGAAGGTTGATGCAACATTGTAGACTTTGAGTTTTAACTTTATAAATTGATTACTAATCTTTAAACTTTGATGTTACTTTGGATTTTAGGATGAGTAGATGTATTGTAAGAAAAGTATGTACCAAATTATTGGATTTTTGTTATCGTAATTGGACTATAATGTTGAAAATATGAAAGAATAAAGGATAATTATTCGAAATGCCTCCTGAAACTACCATTGAGTCTCAGTTTACCCCTTGAAACTAGTTTTGTCTCACTTTGCTATCTGAAACTGACATTTTCAACTCTTTTGTCTCACTTTATCCATTTTCGTTAATGGATTATTAAATTTAAGGGTACTTTAGACATTTCATTTTTTACACATTTATTTACTTCTAGCATGCACACTAAGCAAGTCTTAGTTTTATTTTTGGAACTCTAATTCAAACCCATAAATTGGGGCATTTTTAAAAATAAATTATTCAATCAATAGAAAATTTGTGAGCAACAAAATCATTGTATCAACCAAAATAAGGATTACATTTGTTCATAGAGGCATTTCACTTGCAAGACATCCATGTATTAGCTCGAAACTTTGCAATTGAAAAATATTCATGACAACAAAGTCATTATACCATTAAACTATCATATCCAAAATACTTCCCAAACCAAATAAATCATTTAAAGCAAATGTGCACAGTTTGAAACAAAAAAATTTTAGTCACAAGGAGGAATCCAAAATGAGGGTGCTATGATCAATTCCAATCACAAGGAGAAGTACAAGCTGTTGGTGCTTCACAAGCTCAACCTCAAGTATTTGGTGCTTCACACACTCAAAGTCAAGTAGAATTTGTTGCCCCACAAGCTCATTCTCAACCACAAGAAATACAACCATCTTTTGAATAAGCTCATGCCTAAAGGAATCAGTGCTCAACAATGTAAATTTTTTTTGTTTCAAACTATGCACATTTGCTTTAAATGATATTTTTGGTTTGAGAAGTATTTTGGATATGATAGCTTAATGGTATAATGATTTTGTTGTAATGATATTTTTCAATTACAAAATTTCGAGCCAATACATGGATCTTGCAAGTGAAACGACTCTACGAAAAGAATGTAATCTTTATTTTGGTTGATACAATTATTTTGTTGCTCGGAATTTTTCTATTGATTGAATAGTTTATTTTCAAAATGCCCAAAATTTATGGGTTTTAATTAGAGTTTCAAAAATAAAATCGAGGTTTGTTTAGTGTGCAGGCTAGAAGTAAATTAATGTGTAAAAAATAAAATGTCTAAAATACCCTTAAATTTAACAGTCCATTAACGAAAGTGGGTAAAGTGAGACAAAAAAGTTGAAAATGTCAGTTTCAAGAGGCAAAGTGAGACAAAACCAGTTTCAGGGGGTAAACTGAGACTCAATGACAGTTTCAGGGGGGATTTCGACTAATAAGCCTTATATTAATGCCGAAACCAACCATACTAAAAGGTTCAAAATTGGTTAGGTTTGGTTCGGTGCACTTAATTCGAATTTTCATCAAATTCGAACCCCATCAAATTGTTATGTAGTAATTGGTTTGGTTATGATTTTTGGGTTTGAAAATCAAAATAAGCATAATAGACGAACAATCAAACCAAACTAAAAATAGATTACTCAATTAATTGAGCATAGAGAACACTACAAATATGCCAAGATAACTACATATTAAAAGGACTATATTGTGACTTACTTGTTCTAGCTAAATAACAGAACATTTTATTTATAGAGAGCTAACCTTAATCCCAAATAGACAAACAAACAAAACCCTAATTTAATGGTCTAAGCCCAAATTTAAACTCACAAGAAAACCAAACAATAAAACAAACCTAAAATACTAATATTTTCCAAGACAAATTCAAATCGGACCGTACTCACCCTTAGTCTGATAACAATATTTTGAGTCTACTATGAACTTGGGTTTTTAAGCCATCTCCAACGGCTGGTAATATGCAGAACTATAGCCCAATTTGATTAAAACCCCATATTCATAGTTTGCCAAGATCGGACTGGTTTGGATGAAAAAAATTTGCGAACCGTATCAAACCTCGTTAAGCGTCGGTTCAATCGGGTTTCGTTAAATGGGAACTCAGGTGGAGCCAATCTAAAAACTCAATTATGTTAAATTTGGCTTACATACATGAGTAAATCTGACTTAATTGTGGCTTCTAATGTCGTATGACATAATTAATAGCTGTGAATTATGAGCAAGGGAAAGTGTAGAAAAGATGCGAATTCTATTGAGTAACTGGATTAAGTGGAGATGAGAAGGATGATTTTCTATTTAGCTTGGTTCAAAATGAAAGTTAATGTAAGGGCATTCAAAATCAGAGCGGTTTGGTCTGCTTTGGTTCGGTATAAAAAGTTGTATTTTCTTGAAAGATAGACCAAAGCACAAAATTCGGTCTAACTCGGTCGGCTTTTTCCTAACCCTAGAATTATCACAGTACCTGTGTCAAAACCCTACTAGTTTTTCTTCTTCTTCTACTTACTTTTTCTCAACAGCTCTCTTATTAGCTTGTATTCCAAACACCCTTTTCCCATTCTCTTTGACCTTTGAAGGGACTTCATCAGTTTCCATATTCCTTAGCTTCCCTCTTCCATTAGCTTTTTCCCGACCTCTCTTTTTCTCTCTGTCTCGTGCACCCTTGTGACAGTCACGAAATTTCAAACATATTGCAATGTACATGCATATCGGAGATGTCTAAAACCCCACCACACAACATCCACCCAAAAAGCTTCTACACTCACACTTTAATCATGACAACCACAACTATATTTTAGAATGTGTTCATATATATATCATCGCCGAGCATGCTTAGACATATAATTAATCTAATTAAACCCCAAATTCAAAGCTAATTATAAAAATTATACCCAGAGAACCTAAAAGTTTACAACCTCGTTCATTAATCTCAAGAAAGAGTTCCTGATATTGGTGCCCCTATAGCTAACAACAAACAACAAAACTATACTAATGTAACATTATTTCAAATTAAAGCGAACCCAAAAAAAGCTAAAAACAAAATGATAGTAAAAAAAAAAGTAAGTTGCAGGCATGCTAGAGAGCCTATAATTGTTTGTCCAAAGTCCAAGCTTTCTTCAAGAAAGATAAAGCCTTCTAGACATTGGATCGATGTAGCTTTCTAGACGAAATCTTTTTTTACAATAGAGAAAGTGACTTCCCCACACCCATCTTTCTCTCTGGACACTATTATATATGACATTTAGATTTATAAATTAAAGAAGAAACGCTGGACGAAAATAAATAAAAGTGTACAGAAAAATGAAAAAGCTGTAAATAAATCATTTTCCTTTTTAAATCTCTATCCCCACCACCGGTCCACCACCACCGCCACCGGCATCAACTTTAAACATGCACAGGAGGAGAGTTTGCATGCGAGAGCTGCTTTAGCCATTCATTTGTTCTGTGATGTGAAAGGGCCTGCTTTTCCTTTTGCTTACAACTTTGCTGCTGCTTCTTGTTATTATTCTTCATCGTCATCTTCAACTCTATCGCTACTTTTTCTTTCGACTCGGCACGCGTAATCAAATCAGCTGCTGCCGCTCTTCCACTTCCACCTTCATTGATGTGACCGGTACTACTACTCCTACCGCTACTCGATCGGCTCTTGATGATCACGTTATTAGACGCCATCGTTTCGATGGAGCACTTGCAGCCATGAACATTGCTAAAAAAACTCTGCTTCCTCGGTTTCGAATTCTCTGACTTCAAACCACTAATAGTACTAGCAGCATTGCTGTAATTGGAGACGAAATTTGTACTGTTGGTGCTACTAACACTACTATTTCGACTGACGGAATTTTTCACGTTGTTATTCGCGCGAGTACTACTTGTACTACTATTGGTACGAAGTACCTTGTTAAAATCCTGCAATTCCATGTCCGGAGCACGCACCAATCCCAACCGGAAAAAATCCCACATCGAGGACTTATGATGCCGGCTGCCTGCCTTTTCTAATCGAGAATTTGGAATTTTGATTTGCGGTTTGGGACTTGGCTCTGTGTAGAATTGGTTTATTGGTCTTGTTCCTCCTGGCTTTGAAGTAATGCCTGTTACGGTGGTGGTGGAGCTGGTGCTGCTGCTGAATGATGAGTTGTGACTAATTCTGCTTCTGCAACTGCTGCTTCTGAGCCCGACACCACTCAACAGACACTGCCTAGTTAGTCCGTTGGAGCAGGTGTCGGAGCTGACGGAGGGACGGAGAGGTAGAATTTGGCCTTGGAAGAACACTTCATCTGCAGCACACATTTTTGTTTCTGTCAACAAATTATTTGGCCCGCGACGCATTGACGAACCAAAATCAAATTCTTGATCTTGGGTTTCAGTGGCGACATGGTGAGGATCAGATTCGGGATTGGAAGGTTGGGTTTTATCCTGTTTGATCAAATTCACTGGAAGATCACAGAGTGACACGTCATCTTCTTCTTCTTCTTGCTCGAATTGGTCAGAGACAGAGGCTGAATCTTCATCAATCACTATTCCTTCTTGTTCATCATCAGCAATGTTTGTAATTGCTGCCATTGTGATTTCTGAACCGGGGTTCTCCTTTTTTTTTTTTTTTTTTTTTTTTTTACTCTATCAAGAAATGAGAGTTGTAAGGATGTTGAGAAATGAGAGGATTATAAGTAGAGATAGGTCAGAGACTTTAGGAGTTCGGAAGTGAGACGTGGAATATAAAGAGAAGAAAATTCCAAACTTAAAATATTAAAAATGAAGGGGACCCACAAGCACTACCAATACCTTTATAATTATTTTTCTTAACTTATTAGTGCGATGTGGTCACTTGTCTTATTTAGCCTAAATCTCACTCAAAATAATTGTCCTTAAAAAAAAATATTTCAAAAGGAGCTTTAACGAAAAGTCTGTGGTACTATTTATTTTAACGAAAAATCATATTTTTACATTAAAAAGTTAAACTTGGTACTATTCACTTTACCATTTATTTTGTTCTTATAGTTAAAACTCAAAATTTTCAAGTATTTTTCATTAGTGTTCCTTATTTCAAAATACCCTACGCCTGATTAAGAGATTCTATCTTGAAACCATTGCATGGTCTTGTCACTGATCAATTAAATGTTAGTCATGCGTTAAAAAATTACTCTAATTCATCAGCTAAAATATTTCTGAATAGTCGAAAACTAAGGATAAGGGTTTTGTGAAATCTTCTAGGATATTAATGGGTAAAAGAATTGGATGTTCAATTGATATTTGCCATGTGGCATGGTCGGTTACATGAGAGTATCTCTCCTATACAAGAAGTGAAAATGATGTGCAAAAATTATTTCCGAAATAAAAAAAAATAAATAAAAAGCAAGTGGAGTTCGGAAAAAGCAATAAAGAAGGAATATTAGGAACAGGGAGAGGGGGGACGGACCCAATTGAATAGTGTGTCTCCTTTTTCTTGTTTGGGAGTGAAGAAAAAGAAGACTGGACACTGGACACTGGAGTTTGTGGCCGGCCATTAGCTGAGACCGAGTTTGTCTCTTGTTTCTGTGTTTATTCCTTTTATTTTGAAATATATAACGGGATTTGGAGCGCATGAAAATATGGAAGTGAAAGTGATTACTAATAGTGCATGCCCATCTCCAAGTGGAGTGGTACAAATGATCATTTATGGCAGTTGAGATTCTTCCCATTTTTTCGGTTGGATAAAGTTTTATTTAGTATAAACGATATTCTACATTAGGAAAAAAATGCAATAAATTGAAAAAAAAAGAACCCTAACTGTCGGGACAAAGAAAAGTTTGTCCTTAATTTAATGTTGTTAATGGTTCGGGAAAACAATTTAAGAGACGCGACTGTCATACTATCATATAATGTTATTAGTTCGTATGTATAAATATATAGGGGTAGCATGATTAATATTTTAATAGATCTAGAGTATAATATTAATAAAAATATAAATGTGTTCTAAAATGAATGAATTGATTATTAACATTGTGTGAAAGTGTTTGTATCGAAATTAACGTTTAGGTCAGATATCAGTGATTGTAAAGCAAGAATCTTTAGCGAGCTAGCTTATTTTGGACTTTTGTAAGTCTAAATTCTAAAAGTGATCTTATCGGGTTAGGAGTTTTGCTGAGAGTCTCATATGTAAAAGGAGGTATCCTTGGTGAAAAAATAATTCTATGAGGAATAACATATAGTTTAAAAGGATATGTCTATCTAATTACGGATGGAGTCTTGGCTAAAGAAGTTTGGCAAATGGGAATAGATTGAAGAAAATCGTCAAGAATTTTATCTTCGCTAAAGGGATAGAGTCATATGTGGTTATTGTTAAATCTCTGTTTCGCCCATCATGAATATCAACTCTTTTATGATCGGTTATTCCCATATTACTTTCCACATTCGACACAAGCACGCCGAAGCATGTTTACTGTTACCTTTGAATATATCTGCTCAGTAAGCTTGATTTCGGTGACGTGGACCTACATCTTTATCAACACTATTACTACTAATACTGATTTTATTACTACTCCTACATAGACCTGTCAATGGATCAGATTTTAGCTCGGATCTGATCCAAATCCGATGCAATTGATAGCATATGGATCGTGACTTTCAATCCAATTATCCGAATAAGATCTAAATCCAATAATTCCGTTATAAATGGATCCCGATATAGGTTGAGGCTAATTCATCTAATAATAAGCTCGACTTAAGATAACATATTATTTGATTTTTATATATATTATTCATACTTTAGTGTGGTAATTTAAGTTTTTAATACAATAAAAATACACTTATATCTGCTTTTCTTATTGTTCAGTATGAAACTTTTAATTAAAAACAGAAAAATATAAAAAAGAACGAGGGTACTAATTATATTTTTAATTTTCTTAGGCTTTAAATTAGATTTGATAAGGATCTGATTGAACCCGAATTCGACGCTAATCAGATCTGGATGAACAAGTCATATTCGATGATCCAAATAGGTTACAGATCCATTAATCCGATTGTAAATGAATCCAAAAATAGATCAAGGCTAATCTGATTTGAATACGACCTGTTAATATGTCTACTCCTACGTCTTCATTACCAATAGTACCACTACTAATACTGAGCTTGACACCCTAAATTAAGACCTTCACAATGATATATTGTAATTGCAGTCACTTGTTTAGAAATTTATAGTAGCCAAAACCACACGAAAGTATAGCCTTCTCGGATGCGCATTAGCATGCTTACACCAGCTCAAGGCTCTGAATGATGTAATTAGGTCATACATTTACAAAATAAAACTATGGGACCATGATTTTCTAGACCATGACATGTGGCACCTTGAATGGCAAGAAGGACCAGAATGCCCATGGTCCATGAAGTTCAGACGATCAAATTAGTCAAGCGTCAGTAAGCTATTCGTAGATGCGCACAAATTTAGTTCCAACAAAAACATTTCCTTCTTAATATGAAAATTACCACCTATTAGTGGAGATTAAGTGTACTAGAGAAGCAGTCCTAAACATACGTTGGTTTTTAAGTTTATTACTTCTTGATCCCTCGCAGCATTGAAACTATTCAAAATCTATCAAGTTGGCCATTGTGGTTTGTGAGTCTAAGTATGAAATTGAATATTGTAGCTGGCTATAGTGTTTCAATTTGACATGAAAAAGTCTTGTTGAATAGCTTTGTAATTTCCTAATTCTTAGGATTATAATTCAGATTGAAATCTATTTGTTTGAACTGATGCACTCAAAGTTTGATATAAATTCTTTGTTGGTATTATATGTTGATTCTAATAGGAGAGTAATTAAGGTTGATCTTTTATAAATAATGGACAGTGCTCTCACAAAAGATACGTTCTATTATCCAAATACCTATTGTTTGAAAGTTTATTGAATTTTGCTAGAGAGGAGAAGATGCTTTGTTTCGAATTTATCATGACTTGTTCTTCAGTTTCAAATTCTGCATGTAAATTTTCTCTATGGTTTTTCGTGGCACAAGTTCTTTAGTTATTTCTTCTCTCTCGTAATTATATAGCTAAATCTTTATCTATTGGTTGCGTTTATAGTTACTATTACAGTTTGATTGCAATTCAAAATTCATGAAATTTTAATGAACTCAAGAAAATGATAAGGGGATTTATTAGATAGACATATATATATATATATATATATATATATGTATGTATGTATGTATATGTATGTACAAGGCCTGTCCTAAAGGTATCCCAAGTAGGCGCCCGCCTAGGGCACTCACTTCAAAAGCGTCCCTAAAAAAATTTATATCCTGTAATTAACATGTAAATAAAATAAAAAAAAATATCATAATTCATTTGTTAGTGCAGTGGAAATGTTGGCTTCATTTTTCTTTGGGGTGTTGAGTTCGAAACACGAAACTGCCTTTCAGTCACTAGATTTTTCTTGTTTTTCAAATTTACTACCAATCCATATGTCAAATGCATATAAAGTTATAAAACTCAAGTCTCTTTGCAATCTTTTTTATTTCAACTTCTCATTCTCTCCATTTCTATCGAATGTTTAAACCAACTTCCCATTCTCTCCATTTCTATTAAATGTTTAAACCAACTATCATATGGTCTTAAAGATTGTACTTTAAGGTAATCAAAACTTTGAATTTTGTTTTTTTCTTTTCAATAACTTTTTATTCAAAGGATTATTTTAATAATCAATTCATTAGTGTGATGTTGATTTTAGAAAAAAAAAAAACACAAGAGAAACAATTGGCGTTGAATTTATTATACTCGTCAATCAAATTTTATTATTATTTACTCTCTTGATCATCAAGTTTTATTGTTCTTCACTCTCAATCTTCAACTCTTGACTGCAAACATTTAGTACATTTGTATCTAAAAACGTAAATCGTGTGATGTTTAAATAATATTTGTATATTTATCTTCTTTTGATATTAATTTTTAATAATATTTGATATGAAAATAGAACTTTTTATATATTTAGCGAATTCTTTTTTATATAAATCAATATAAAAAGAACCGAAGATTAAAGAATTTTAGAATCTCACTTCGAAGGCTCACCTAAGGCCCCAAATTCTCAGGGCTGGCCCTGTGTATGTATATGTCTTCTATTACAATACATGCACGAAGAACTTCAGTCAGAATATAATTAATGTCTTCATTTTAAGAAAAATGCTGGAGTCGTCCCTACGCATACGGGCATTGAATTAACATCGTCCATCATCCCTGAAACACGCTTGAATCAAAATTATGGACTACAAGCCCGTAGGGTTTGGACGGCCTCTTTTCATGTCTTCATTCCCAACTCCGCACCAAAAAATGACTTATATGTCATGAGATAATGACTTATATGAAACAGATGCCACGTTGCATGGGCAGTAAACATATTCCGTATAAATTACTATCCGCGTGGATTAGTGAAACCTAATATCCACTATATTACAATTGCATTTTGAATAACTCCTCGTTAGTAAATACATGTTTCAAATTCAAGCCCTATGACCTAGAATTGTTGAATCAAATTAACGCAAGCTGAATTAGGAAACTATTATTGATCCTCCAAAGAGTTAATTACTTTCTCGTTTGTACTGTTATAAGAGAGTAATGCATGAAATTAACGTCGGATAAATCTAGATGATCCCTAGTTAGATCCGACAACATGATCCCAAAACAAAAACCAATCCATACCAAACACAAAGTCACATTTCTATTGGATCTTGACACAAACACATGCATTACTAATGCAATTTTTTCATAACTAAATAGAAATGTTTTATGACGTATTTCATAACAAAAAGAAAAACAAGGAAGGAAACTAAGTTAAATTAAGGAACTCCTTGTTGGTTAATAGCTTCAGTGGCAGAAATATCACACTGAGAGGTGATCGTGGCGCCGGAGACGGTGGGGCCCTCGGTGGAGCCAGCCCCTCGCCCTGGCTGAACCTGCTGATGGCCTTGTGTTCCGTACGCCTGACGCTTGTAATCCTCCAAGTCCTCGTACTGCAGGTACGGACTGTCCTTCATCGGCAGCCCTTCCTCTACCTTCCCTCTTGCCTCTGCACCCTCAGCTGGCTTTCTGTTCTGCTGCTCTTGCTTGCTCGCCATCTCTGAGATCTCGATTTCTCGGTTATATTTCTTCCAATCTTGGACTTCAGTTTTGATTAACTTGGATCCGATTTCTCGTGGGATTGCATGGCTTTTATAATGTTTTGGTAGTGCTCTCTGACTATGCCACGTGTTTGGACTAAGACACGTGTCCCGCGGATAGGAATTGTCGGCTTTACGTGGCTAGCCAGGTAGTATTTTATTGTGTGGCTTGCTACATATATCCATGACAATGAACTCGGATAAGCTTAAAAAAGGACAACGGAGTAGGATCTGCGGTGAGATATATGCAAAATTATTGCGTATTCTGTACTTTAAAGTGTTCTAACGGTTAGATTTTGATTTTTGCATTGTTAACAAAGATCTACAATTAAAACCTTCAGAGCATTGAGTACTCTATACCACCCAAGAAAGTCCCATGAATTATATATGATTCAATTACTATAGATTTGCATATAATTGGAGGCCTTAGTGGATGAATCCCCAATTTTTTTAAAAAGTGGAGATTAGTTGTAGGGTCAACACCACATTAAATTTCAACGATTCAAATGGTTTGTTTTTCAATTTGCACTTTATAGATCATCATTGCAAAAAATTAGCCAATTGAAAATATTTAGACATCTAACTGAGTTTAAAGAGATTGACGAACACTTTATTCTATAAAAAACAACAAAAATAGGCAAATCGCTATTTAGTACTATAGTCTAGTACTATTCCTCTTCACTGGTAAGTGAGTGGTCTTAGGTTTAATTCTCGTCAAAGACGAATTTAAACAATATTATTGCTAGCACTTTGTGACGCTTAGCCTATCCCTCCCCCCTCATCCCCTCACCCCAACCCTTTTAGTGTAGATAATTTATTGTTCAAATAAAAATAGGCGCTCGGATTGCATTGAATTTTTGTAAGGAAAATCTACGAATCGAGACTTACAAAATAAATGATTCGGATCATTGAAGTTTGATGTGGAGTGAATCTCACAACTACTGTCCATCTTTAGAAATAATTGGGGATTTACATATAATATTTACAACATGGACATTTGTACGGGGAAATGCTGATTTCTTTTACTTTGCACACTCATTGAATTATCACAATATTAATTCAACGGCTAAATGAGTTTGAGTTTAGTAATATTTTGCACGAATGGTTCATGAGGGATTGCTTACCGTTTCGATTATGGTACAACATTACATAAATTGATGAAGAATGAAGAAAAAAAATAGAAATATGTGCACAGAAACGGATTAATAGTCTAATACCGATATTGCTTCCAGCTTAGGTACTTTTTATATCGAGAGAAAAGCACCAGTCCTTAAAAATATGTCATGGTAACACTGGTGGAATTGCATGTTGGATGTGGCTAACATTTTGCAAGTTTTGTCTACGGAAGTGAAAAAGGCACAGTAGTTGACGCATTGTGTATTCTAAGATCCCTACATGGTAACGGTGCTTTGCTCGAATCTGGTGGCAGAAAGCTTAGACAGCAGCAATTAGTGCAAAATCGACGATCCCCTATCCTGATATATATTAGTGTTTACCATGACAGTAGCATATACTGAAGGGCATTTGTCTAGAGTTTGCAGAGCTTCTCTGGGAGGGGTACCATTTGGGCCTAACTTACACTATGATATGGTATACCTGTTAGCATCCATGATCACAAATGGCTCTTGGCATATTGTTGCGGTCCCATTGTTTACAGCTCACAGCCCGTGCTAGAAACCTGATTGATAGGGATATTGTTTGTGGACTTACACTAATTTGGTTGAGCTATATATGGCAGTATAATGCATGAGTTCTGACATCAGAGGCGCTGCTTTTGATTTGACCAAAAATGCCACCAATCAAGGTTGTTTGGATGGCGGATGGCGGATGGCGGATGGCGGATGGCGGATGGCGGATGGCGGATGGCAGATGCATTGAATGGCATGGGGGGTCAGCTGCCCCTCTGAACTCTGGTGACGTCCATGGATACTTTGGGTGCTGATCCTTTGAACGGTGAATGTCCATAGATACCTTGGGTGCTGCATTTTTTAAGATTAGAGTATGCCCTCTAACTGTTTGAAAAATTTGTCTGAAAGAAAAGTGAATAAAATGGTGATTTCAGTGAATAACAAAACATCATCATTCTTGGAAAAACATTTTAATGGGATGCAATGATATCAAACATTGTTAGTGTGTTCAAAATAGGTGTGTTTCTTTGTTAAGCATTCATATGGGAGTAGCCTTGAAACATATTAGTGAAGCATTACCAGGTATGCAGTATGCCTTTCCAAATGACTTCAAGGATACCAAGACTCGATGAAATGGCGAAATGCATGCTATTTCTGGTAAAAAAAAATTTGCGCACTGTGCGAGCTATTCTTACTGACACCCCCCCCCCAAAAAAAAACCAATATTATTTTCTAGATCCGCCAGTGTCTATGTGAGCTATTCTTACTGACACCCCCCCCCCCAAAAAAAAAACCAATATTATTTTCTAGATCCGCCAGTGTTTGGATGCCAAGTATGGCTGGCACTTACTATCCAGAATATATCATTTTTGTGTCGTGTTATTGGAGACGGAGATGACTTCACATACTGCTATCAAGGTTGTAAAGATTATCATTTACATATTTGAGGAAGCATGACTGTATAGTTTTTCCGCAGCTGTCAAGTAAGCTAAAAACCGTACCAGATAAAATCTTAAGACAATCAACGATACAACAAAAAGAGTTCCAGTTCCAGCCGCTAGCGCAAATCTTAGAGGGTCCTGCAAGGTTGGAACATAGAAAGGAAAGACAAATGAATTACCTCTTGCTGGGGTAGATGTATATTTCCTATTGAACTTGTTTAGTAGCATGTCAATAATTCTGTATGTGATTTTGCTGACCGTTTGAGTATAGCCTTAGCCTTAGGCATGGAAGCACAGAGAACATTCTCTTCCGGTTCCGAAACCTGGTGGTGCCGGGGCATTAATCTTTTTGGCTTTCTACACTACTACACATATATTATGATATCGGCCAAGCAAAAGATGTTATTGCCATGGGAGCATGCACAACTTCAAGGAGGATGTTCAGTACTGATTCTCATCATATCCACATATATTTTCTGATGTTGACTTCCAAATGCGCAATATCTATATCTTACCCTTGATGGATTGAAGCTTGCAGCTGCAATAGGCAATCCTAGAGTTGTGAAAGTTACCAACCACAAACCTCCAAGTCGAAGTAAAAAAGGCCCTAGGTCCCAGTTCGCCCCACGAGTACAAGACTCCGTCCTAAAGAGACGAGTACTCATTCACCTGTCATGGCATCAAATTACTGTAAGTACGGGTTTTTGATGGCATATATATTGTAATTGCATGGCATGATGCGCCAGGATCCATTTGTTTTGTTTATGGATTTTCTTTGCTGTCAATGAGTGGGGTGCATAATAAGGGATTCAATCACCTACTTGCTTTGATTCAATCCCATGACTTAAAGTGCGGATAGAGGTTACTCAGCTGTGAGAGCCAGAAGTTTGTTTTGAACTGCGGATATATAGAGGTCACTCTCATACTCATTCTTCTTGGTTATGCGTCCTTTAATATTTTCTGGTTTAGAAAACTAATATCTCAATTTGTTGTCCTGAAGTAGTGAACCGCGAGTTATTACGGACTGGACCTAGCTAAGAACAACGTGTGCCTTCTGAATTCTCTGTTGAACGATGGAGGAGCGAGAGTACTGAAAAAGTAGACGGAGAAAGTGAAAACTTACCGGCCTTTGCTCAAAAGGAACCTCAATTTCTGACCCGGGATCCCAACTCTGCCTGCGGAAGCCGCTCGTTTCCCCACCTGCCCCATCTTTCAAGGCCTTGACAGAAACCTCCTTGGGTAGCCTCTGAGCACTACGGTATTGGATCAGCCATGAGCTAGAGCTGCTACCAACCTTCACTAACTTGACTTGTGGAGGACTAAAGAGCAGAGAGCAATACACCTGCGCCTGGAGCATTTATTTCCTAGAAATCAAACCGAACTGGAGCGCGGCCGAGGGATATTCGAAGTTTCTTTGTTCAACGGGCACGAAATCGGGGAAGGAGACGAGGGTTTCTTCAGGGATGGTTGTGTTTTTTCAGGGACCATTCATTATTTACGTGGAGGAAAACGATTCGGAAAATCATATTTGTAATTTACTTGGAGGGGAAGGGATCAGGATCCTCTCCTGATCTAAGGATGAGGATCCTCCTGACCAAGAAATATGGATCGTTGGATAAAAATCCAATGGTTATAATTATTATAACTTTAAAGGGATCCCCCTATTTGTAGCCGTTGGATGAAAATCCAACGCCCCACACTCTTGATTAGGAGGAACCTCATCCTTAGATCAGGAGAGGATCCTGATCCGAGGGGAAGGGTTTGTTTGGACAATGACCCAAAGCCAGGTAGGCAAAATGTGTGATATTTAAAGGAATTGGATCCTCTTCTGAGCTCAGGAGGATCCCCATCCATTGGATCGAATTTGAACTGTCCGGATGGATTGCTCATGAGGATCCCCATCCTGAGCTCAGGAGAGGATCCAGTTCCATATTTAAAGACTTACATTCCAAGGCGAGACCCACACAATTGGACACGTGTGCAAGCTCTCCTTTGTGTGTGTACTTTTGGACCGTCCATTATGTAGGCTTGAGAATCGGATTATCCAAATGTTAGGGACTTCGGAAAAATAATTTTGTTCTTGTGTAGAAAGTGTGTTGGGGATGTTGATAGTGCAAATGCAATGTGGAAGTCTTACCCTTCCATGCAGTTTTGTGTGGATTCCTCATGCTTTTCATAGGGTGGCGTAAGCGGCCAGTAGCTCAATTCACTTGTTAAGAGTGTTGTTTAGTAGCTCAGGTCATTTTTTAAGAGCATTTACGCCTATCCTGATGTATTTAGTCTGAATTTGTCTCGCCAAGTATTAGTGGCGAAGTCAGGAATTGACTGAGGGAGGGGCGAAATTAAAAGATTGCAAGGTTCAAAAGAATAGCAACAATCAAATCCTTTTATATAGTAATATCTTCCATAATTTATCAATACAAACAAATGGCGAGGTTTCATATCATGAAAACGACGCATAATAGACTCATTATCAATAAAAGCAAATACAAATTATATGAATAATTGTATACATTGTGTAATAATTCAATTAATTAATCAATAACCAAGAATTCAAATTTTAATTTTCACCCTAAAAAATAATTTCATAATTTCATATAGATAATCATAGAATCATATGAATAATGAATAACCAATAACCATATTAGTGCATTACCATATGATTCTATACCAATTAAACAACATTAGTATTAAATAATTAATTAAGGTTAGGGATTATAAATTTAGGGGTTAAAAAATTTACCTTTTAAGGTTGGAAGCCAATGGCTCATCGGCTAGAGAGTGGCTGGAGTAGAGCCTGGCCAGTAACGGTAACAAAACCAATAGAAACAGGAATTAAAAATTGGGAACTTTAACAAAAAACTTTCAGTACTATTTACTTTAATGAAAAACTACAATTTTACATTAAAAAGTCAATCCTGATACTATTCATTTTACCTTTTACTTTATGCTTATCGTTAAAATTCAAAATTTTTAATTTATTTTCATCAGTTTCCTTTAAAAATTTAAAGATTTGGGATTTTGGGGGCCAGAGCAGCTTTGCTCTCTATCTCTGATTGGATGGGAATTGGGAAAGGGTAAAAGAAAAGGGGGACACTGACTCTGACTCACGGAAATGACTAAGGGAAGGGGGGACACACGGTCACCCCTATACATATACATATACATATACATATATATTTATTTATTTATTTTTTTATTTATTTACTTTTTTTTTCAAACATACGAAACGTACTGTTCTGTTTTAGTTTTTTTAATTTTTTTTTTACCAAGATCAAAACGACATCATTTTGGTCTGGATGTTTGACAAAAAAAAAGGCAATATGTTGTTGTGCGCAGCAGAACCAGATGTCGGAGGGGATGAACTAGTCGAATTTTCTGCCGAGGGGAAGGGCTGAACCCAGAACTCCAGTCATGTTTTCTGGCAAGGGGAATGACGGCTGCCACTCCTCGCCCTCACGTGGCTTTGCCACTGCCAAGTATTGATTGTATCAAAACAAAAGGGGTTGGAAGTTCAACCTAACAAAGGGAATTCTTGGGTGTTATCGGGTACATTTCCCCATTAGTGTCTATGTCATCAAATGACACTTGCCATATGATTTTCTTCTATAATATATGTATAGTTTTAGTGGCATCACCTATTCAATGAAGACTTAGAATCCATCCATCTAATAAAAGAAGGGTTGTCCTCAAAGGTAAAAGAAACAATTACCACAGTAAAAAAGAGCAAAAAGAAGTTCAACGAACTATGAATAGAACAAAGAATTAATGGGATATATATGTGTTGACCATAAAAACTACCAAGCCTACGTGGCGCGCAGGTCGAGTAACTAATAAGCTAACTACGTTATTCGGTTGATGCAGGGTGTGCCAACTCGTAAAGTAAAATTTGTTGATGTTGCGTTGAATACACTACTGACTTCTTGATCTTGCAACTGCGACCGAGGAAGGAACACGTCTCGGCCTTCGGGTTCTCGAGCATGAAGACAAGGTTGTTAGTTCTGCAAAGTTCACGAATCGTCGGCACCGGATTCGGTTACGGTGATTATATTCGTAAGAGTATAAGCACGTCGAATCGGCTCCAAATTATATGGACACAGGTACTCAAAAGAGATGTATGTCTTGATGGTAAATGTGGTTCGGCCGTCAGAATGCCGAACTCTGAAACTCACTTGTGAGTATCCAATCATAAAATCACTCAGCATTCAATGTGCCGAATGTAGTAACTTGTAACACCTTACTTCGCCGAGAAGGCTAATAAGATGACCTTTGCCAATAAGGATTCGGAAACCTTTCTCGACCGAGACTTGGATAGGTAACCAGTTGACCTCAACACAGTGCTGTTTATCCAAACTGAAGGTGCTCATCAGTCGGCTGATTATACGGCAATAGTGCTGTTTATCCAAACTGAAGATGTGTTGGCAGAAAAAGGAAATAAAAAAAATCTTAAGATGTTTGAGAGGTTTGCGCAGGGCAATTTGTGTGTTGAATTGGAGTGTGTTTAAATGACACACCCCCATCCTATTTATAGCAACCAATCTCATCTTGGCCGAATTAGAACTATACTTGGATTAGTATTCTTCATCCTAGTCCAACCAGGGCTCGCCCAATCCTACTCCTATTAGGACTTTGAACTAAACTCTCTATCCGGCCACCTTCACTTCTCAAATCTCAACGTCCTCACTCCATTAACTCCTTATTGTACTAGGACTTTGACCTATCCGTTCTTATCCAAATCACTCTTTCTTGCAATAGGACTCAACCCCCCTAACTGAGCGGCTTACAACCGCTAGACAGCCCATGGTACATTAGGAAAAGTTTTAGGCCGAACATAAACCTACGCTCGGCCCAATAATATTATTTTGGGCCTAAACAATATGATAGTGCCCTTGTGAATGTCACTTGGGCTACCTTTTCTAGTAGAATGTCTTAGGCACTCAATTGGTGCACTTTTCTTACAATTTCCTTCTCTCGTTTTTTTTCTACTTTTCCTTTTCCATGGTTGTTTTTTAGGGGAGAGGATTCTTTTCGAATTCATTTTGTGAGGATCTCTAGTCGTTCATCGTATATCGTCCGGCCAGTTTTCGTCAGATATTATTTATGTTTAATTTTAAATTAAAAAAGTCAAATAATTTCTGACTGCATGATACACGATGAATGACTAAGATGTTAGGATCTCTAGGATCCCCACAAAGTGGATCCAGATGGGATCCAATTCCGTGTTTTAGTATTTGCAATCCAAAAAGGTTGCAACTCATTTATCTGGTTGCTGAAAGTCTTAGAAGATATTTTGAGAAATACTTACTTGTTTGTCCTATTTTATACATTTATGTTTATTTTAGACCATCATATTAAATAAATCAAGAGAATTAATCAACAAAAAGAAATAGAGTATGCAGATTGAAAAAATTAAGAGAATTTATGAACAAAAAGAAATAGAACATGCAAAAGGAAAAAGAGAAATTGTGAAGATCATTTTCTTTCTTTGTTGTCTACCACTCCATCAACCTAATCATGTGATTATAGAGAGAAATTAGCATTCAACATGTATGTGAGTTTCTTTTGTTTACAATGGCATATTTAGTGTCACCGAGGCCATCGGAGATACTACTCGACTTTTATTGAGAACTTACATGAAAATAAGTCTTGATTGGATCTCTAATCACGTCTTTTTATTTTCTCAACATAAAATGCTAAACATGCCACATTTTAATAATAAGTCAATATTTGTATGACTAATTGGAATCAAGAGACTCATTACCTTAAAAAAAAAAAATCAAGAGACTCGAAAAAGGATGACGAAAATTAAGAAAATGTTGCAATCCTATTAGATTAGGAATGTAATTGTGTAAATCTTATCATATTTGAATATCCTTATGGGATTCTACCATTTGTCTTAGACTAGATATTATTACCTTCCCTACTATTATAAATAAAAGCACAATGGGTAAGATAATACACACCTCACAATTACACATCTCTCTATTTCTTTCTGTTGTTGCCGCACCCCCTCTGTCCTTTATATGATTTAGTAAATTAGGCTTACAACACGTTATCAGCACAATTCTGACGTTGCACTAAAGAGAGTTTGTTCTTCAATTAGGGGAGTATTGCGTTTTAATCATTCTTTTTATGACTAATTTATTACTTTATTAAATTGATCTACATGCTATTGATTTAATTTAATTTTTCTTTGTTAAACACGATGCAACGCATTGGAGATGCAATTCCGATATTCTGAGAAGGATCTTCTACAACATCAAAGGCACAATTGTTTTCTGCCAATTAGGTTCTTTTAAAATAAATTAAGATATTTAAAACGACCATGAAGCATGAAAACATTCCCCATGAAGCATAAAACCCAACATTTATATTTTCCTTCCGTTATATATATATTGTATATGTTTATATATTTATCAATATACATACACACACACACACACATACGTTCATGCAATACACAATTATGTTATGTGGAATTTGTGAGTCAACGCATTGAAATAA